GTGTGGTCAGCACGACAAACCCCCAGCCATTGCTAGCTTTCCTGACCGAATTACGCTACTCATTGTAGCTCCCCAATTTCCTCACGATGCTGGGTTGGCACCGGTCCCAGACACCGGTCGAAAATCTCATGAGAAAATTTCTTCTCTCCCGAGACTCGAACCAGCGCGCATTCCGTGTCACCGGACCGAAGCATGATGCCTCAGGTAGCACGGCTACGGCGTGGGACAAAAACGTCTAGTATTACAAATGAAAAGGCAGAATAGAAGTATTAACTCACAAGAATTTCCCGTTTATAGCCAGCACCTCATGAGGCGTAACAACCCTGAGAATAAGCCGACGACCTTGAACTAATATTACTGTGACAGTTACAATTCCGCCCCGATTACGTGCATAACAACAAGGGTAATGAAAACATCACGGTCGATGACGTCATCAATAACGATGTCATCACGGACAATAACATTATCACGCATGCGCAGTGGATAATGGGCAATGGTTAACCTCCCATCTCGCGAATTTGACAATCCGTCGATTTTGGACTTGGCTCCAATGACACAATCTCCATAACAAATTTCGAAGAACACACAAAAAGAAACTTATCACACGAAACATTGGCACAAAAATACAATTAAATAAATATATATACTTGATATAATTAAGTTGGGAGAATTCCAGTCTAAATACTTTTGATGGGGTGTCTTTTTTTAACGAAAGGCGAGGAATACGAAAAGGACTAATAAGGTTTAATTTACATTCTTGTCGTCTACAACTTATAAATACCATTGCGTCTTAAAAACTAAATTTTATTAATTTATTACGTTCAACATTTTTAATGAAATGCAAAGGAATATATAGAAGATGAAGTACCGTCTAATCGAGTGCAAATTACAAAAAATAAGGGCAAAGTACCAGTATACATCTATTATCAGCGTCGTCAACTATTGAACAAATTACACAAAGACGCCTCCATTACCCATCCCTCAATTTAAGAATGTAATTCGTTCGATGAAAACTGTTCGTGAGGTGCAAACTCGTAAATTGAAAATTAAATTCCCATTACGTTCAATGTAAAAAATTCTGACTGATTCCCGACTCCTAGACAAATCACCCAATATTTCACACACAACTGTTAGAATGATATACAACCATAAAAAGAACAGCGCTGTGTATCATGATAGTTATTACCTGATTAACCCTGTAAAGCACTCCTGAAGTGACCGATGTACAATGTAAACTTTACACTTAACACTTCAGTAGTGCTGTAGGTCGATATGAACATCAGTACTTGTGTCAACAAAAAATAAACATATGCCTTTATCAAAAGCGAACCTTAATCAGTGTACTACAACAATCACAAAAAACAATGATATGAAAGTTATTCAATTTTCCTCAATAATTAATGTCAAAATTAAGGATTCAATTTTTAAAAAGTGAAGATGATGTTGACTAGAGTTCGTTACTCACGAAACGGACATTCGACCATCAGACAAAGGTTGTTTCTTGGTTGTGCCGAAAATAATGTTCATAAATTGAAAAACAGATATATATTTACATGGTTCGTTGCAGCGAAAATTCGTAATTCGAGAGTTAGGTTTATGTACTTTCCAATGCATACCATTATACTCTGGTTTCCTATGAAATGAAAGATCACATAACTTGTCGAAACAGCAATAACACATCAAAACACCAACACGCAATCTTCTGGTCACTGTAAAAGTAACCAAAAGGAAGAGTGTTGAAAAATACCACGCATCATTGGTACCGGCTAGATAAAACTGGTGCATCCTTGGGGACAACACTCAACAGAAGTAACGCCTGTCTCCGGGCCATAATTTGAGCCCGGGACCTCCCAAATACGATGCTGGAGTGTTAACCACTCGACCACAACCTGCGGTCAACATTTATTGGTTTTATTTTTGTCTACGACATATCCAATATCAGTGTATACTGATTCACTGGACAAATAAATTAATGAACTGAGTGTGTTGTTCTACCTCTACCACTACCTCACGTTCCTGTTACAATGAGTTCAAAACGTATTTCCTCTCGTTTGCTACTAATGGATCTTGATACCAACTTAACAACAAATCCACAATTATCTGATGTAGAAATGTGAAAATAATATTTTCACACTGAGCCGGCAATACTACGAAATAATGTATCTACAAAATATATCAAATAAAACAATGTACTGTACTTACATCATTGTGTACAGATCCATACTGTTCCCGGCATGGTAGAACTCGTATAGGCCACTCGGATATTGATGCTTTCTCTTTAATATATGTTCAACCAAGATAGTTTGTGTTCAAATGAATATTATTACCTTTCAACAGGAATGTAACCTAGTCAATAAATGTTCCTCCACTACCAACTTATAAACACTTCGTGATAAACATAACCTAACAACGACCTTGCGTTTCCATGTCCAGTTTTTGTGTAGTCCTCTTTTCAGTAACAAGGAAAGGCACCGATGATAAGACACATGTAAGTACAACTTATGAAATTAAAATTTTCTTCACATCTAGTACAACAAAGCCGCACGAAATTCTTGACAGCTCGAAATTTATTTCCATCCACTCACACCTACAGATTAACTTGCCGCCAAATTTAAAGTGAACTGTGGTAAACTGTGGCTCACTGCAAAGTTTAATGTCTTTTTATTCTTCTTCGTGCATGGAATTGAAATTTACCTCACAACCGTACCAATACTCGCGTAATACTGACAATGCATCATCTTAATCAACTTGTTAATAATCGCATAAAATCTGGTCGATTAGTTCCATCTTTATTATGATACAGACCCCAAAGATGAAAATACCTTTACACAGGTGTACATTTCCTTTGTTGATATACCTCTTTGAATTCTGCATTATAAGAAATTATATGAAATTTGATTTGAATGAAACTTTCCAGTTACCAGTTACCAGTAATACTAACACAAACCCATGTGCAATTATTAAGTGGAAGTCGTTTAATGTATGGCAGTAAAATTATTTGTGGTTATAGATATAAATATATGCAACATTTCTAAAGGACAATTTTATGATTAGTGAAAATAATGTGTCAAACGAAATCCTATGAATGACCTACCATTTGAGAATATGATTTATAATACTGGAGCTTTACACTTTTTGAATGAAACAGATTCCTGTATGTTAAAAATTACTAATTCCATTCAGGCACAAAACCTGAGGTTATGTCTGGCTGCTGTTCATTACTAAGTTACGTAATTATGACACATTCTTCACACAAAATGTATAATTAACAGCACAATTGGGAGGTCATGGCTGCCCATCCATATGGTTTATCTCCAAACTTATAGTTGCTCAACAGATTTCAATAAAATTTGATATTGTGTGTTGTGTATTGAGAGGCATATGCACCAAACATAGTAAAATTCAATATTGCTTTGTATTGATGAACTATAAACTCTGCATGGGGCTCCATTTGGACTTAATGATTTTCTCATAACCAGCCCTTCACATAAAAAATTGATACATTGCATAAACACTTTAGAAAAATACAAGATGTTTCCCCCAAATCTGCAGCACCCATGAGACTCCAAATGAAACTCATAATTCTTCAGACCAATCAAGGAAGTGAATCAAAACTACTGAATACATTTCTTCTAGAATTTTGTTAAGTCTGATAACATCAAGACAATCTACTATAAGTAGGATTTGAGGTTCTCACAGCAGTGAATCCAAAGATGGCTGTCTTATGGGTTGTAGTGTCATTTAGTGTGGTAGAAGTTTACCAATGTTTCAAAGAACCTTTGAAACGTTGGTAAACTTGTACAACAGAAGACAGCCATCTTCAATTTCCTGTAACTTTATGCTACATGGCATCTTCTTATTGTTTTGTAAGTTCTTTCTGTTATGAAGTAGTCTGGTAGATATTGAGCATCATTTTAGAGGAGCTTACTGCCTCCATTATCAGCATGGCTCACTGCTCACAACATAACAACAGAAAATAACTGCAAACCCCTGAACAGCTGGACCACCACCAAAATGATGATAACTGGTCAAGACAGTCTTTCACGCAGATGCAGTATAAAAGAGTTGAATTTTAATTTTAACTGCAGGTAGTGAGTCCTTCAGAAACTGACAGTCATTTATCTAGTAACAATTAACTCAATCCTGAGCCGCTTGCATCCATTCATTTTTAATCACCAACAGCCTTGCTTCTTTTTCTTTCATTTCAGCTCACACATCATTCACTTTCGTGTTTCTTCCCCCCCCCCCCCGAAATTAAAGTGAAATAATTGCATTTCCATCAATTAATAAGAGAAATTACAAGTGATCGTTTATTACATTTAATATTGGACATCTCACAGTGGACTAAATATGTGACACCAATTCCCTTGGTGCGCTGGTTAGAGCCTCCTTCAAAGAAATTCTGCGTGGACAGCTTGGTCTCTTAGGCGCTGGCAATGGATGTACACATAACACGAGTTGCCCATCAGAACCAAACCAACAATAAATGATACCACACACAACATTATTACATGTAAAGTGGATATTATGCTGGGTCCATCTGAGAAAGAAGAAGACAGATTCAATTAATGCAGCATTAGCTGATAACTGATTAATCATTAACCAATAAATCTATCTCCTAAACTGACTATTGCATTAGAAACAAAATACAAGGCAAGGTTCCAACATGCGACGTTAACAGATCTACTCATTGCTGAGCAAATGGACAGTCAGCCATAACAGAAACTGACAAAGGAATACACCATCACGTGTGACCGTAAGAGTTATAAATCAGTTACAAAATTAATACCAACAGTTAAATAATTTAGAATATACAGACAAATAAGCAGATGTGTGTGTCGCATATGGATGTGAAGCCTGGACATTAACTAGCTTTGATGAGCAACACGTAAAATATTATGGAAAATCTATGGTCCAATACAGAATAGTGATGGCTCCTGAAGAATTAGGATGAATCATGAACTAGATTGTATCATACAAGGAGCAGATATCGTGAGGCTGATCAAAAGCAAAAGGTTGGCCTGGCTTGGCCATGTTGCAAGAATGGAAGGAAACAGGGTAACTAGAAGAGTGATGGAATGGAGACCGATGGGAAGAAGGATGAGAGGGAGACCACGGAATCGATGGATAGATGACGTGGAGGAGGATGTGAGGAAGATGAGAGTGAGGGGACGGAGAAGAATTGTGAATGATAGGACAAAATGGAAAAAACTCGTCGAACAAGCTAAGACCCACATAGGGTTATAACGCTACAAGAAGAATAAGAAGAAGGAGAAGCTGATGTGTATCCCCATATTCACAGTTATTTTTGCAATGAACCACCTTACAAAAGAATAATAACTTAAACCCACCGTGCTGGGTGAAATATTCAAGGAAGACTAAGACATGAGGGAAAACAAATGGTGAACATTTTTACTAAGAGAAACTGTAAATAGGCAACAAATTTTAAATGACACCATCATTTAATGTGTAAAAATACATTAATATATATATATATCATAGAAAGTGGCACTGGAAAAGGGTTTTCCCCAAGTTCTACTAAACTATATTATTGAGACTATTAAATGGACAGATTTTCCAGTGTAAAGTTTAATCAAAATCTAATCATAGACAAAACCACTATCACTAAGAATGCTGATAGATATGATCTCCCAATTATGTGCTTAATTTTTTCATGTATGAAGAATGACTACAAATTAAAAAATGTAGAAACAAAATAGGTTGGTCACCTGTGATCAATTTTGAAGGAGCATGAATTGGGCAGGGTATGGTACATGCTTTGGACAGATTAGAAGTGCACACAAATTTTTGTCAGAGAATTCAATGAGAAGAGCCCACTCAAGATATCAATGTCTAAAAGACAGGATAATACTAAAACGGAACTTAAACAAAGAAGATGCCACAGAAATATGACAATAAGCTAAAAAAAACAGTTTCAATCCTTTCAACAAGCCATTACGATGAATATTTAAAATATACACAACAGCATGGCTTATGTATGGACAACACGTGGCACTCACCAGGCTTTGTCAGCACAGGACAATGAGTGAGATTCTGCTTCGAGTAGCCAGACAGTGAGTCATTGTTGGGTACGGTCGTACGCTGTTGTTCTAATTCATTCCATCCACAGTAAGGATCCGTGGCATTCTCACAAGCCATTTGGTTGTGCAACGTGCCACAGCGGTGTACTGGAATACGCATCACACTCTTCTCTGTGCCGATGTACACCGACTTCTGAAAAATCATTACATTTACAAATGTCGCATCCATAAGATTAGAATCTTCAACTCCAATGTGTTAGCAGTACTGTTATGTGGATCAGAAACATGGATGGTATCTGACTCCAACAAAATAAAATTAGAGGTCCTTATAAAAAGATGCTTACATAGAATACTACATAATTTTTGGCCAAACATCATAACAAATGAAGAACTATAGCACCGTACTGAACAGAAAGGAATCAGACAGATTATAAGATACCAAAAGTGGAAGTGGATTGGCCACATTCTGAGAAGGGAACCAACTACCTCAATCAACAAATGCAAACTAGATTGGAATTCTCAAGGGAGTAGAAAAAGAGGCAGCCCGAAGGTAACGTGGAGAACATCGGTACAAATGGAAGCAGAAAGTACCGCCAAAATATGGAGGGAAATTAAGCTGTCGGTTCAGAATAGATCCAAATGGTGCAGTTTCATAGAGACCCTATGCTTCACTTAGGAGCAAAAGGTGTATATATATATGTCACCCATAATTAATCATCTGACATTCATCGGATGATTTATTTTTACCTACCGTCTCTTCGAGGTAGTGAAGTGCTTTAATAGGAACGGGGTTGTTTCCTGGATATGGCTTCCAAACCTCCACAACACACGTCTCCTGTGTTGTTGGCAACACTGATATTTTCTTCACAAGACCATCAGTTGTAGCCACATACAACACATGGACAGCTTTGTGCTGTTTTGTGGGCAGGACATCGACAGCAATGTGTGTCAGTGTCTCCAGAAGTCCTTTGTACAGAGGGTGGAGTGTAGCCGGCTGGACTGCATCATTCATCAGTTGGTACCGGCTAGAGTCAAGTACCTGATAGTAGTTATCAGCTGGATCTGGCTTGCATTCAAAGTGACTCTTATTTCGTTTAACAAAGGTTTCCCATGCTGAATCATGACTCTTCTGGTATTTGAATGGGCCCGAGAAGGCAGCAGCTATGGAAGACATGTTGAAGGAACAAATTGCTGACCCTGGGATGCTGTTGCTACAGAAACAAAATTTTAAATTTGGAACTATTAAAAATGAATGGATGTAAGTGGCTCAGGATTGAGTTAATTGTTACCAGATAAGTGACTGTCAGTTTCTGAGGGACTCACTACCTGCAGTTAAAATTAAAATTCAACTCTTTTACACTCCAACTGCGTGAATGACTGTCTTGACCAGTTGTCATCATCTTGGTGGTGGTCCAGCTGTTCAGGGGTTTGCAGTTATTTTCTGTTGTTATGTTGTGAGCAGTGAGCTAAGCTAATAATGGAGGCAGTAAGCTCCTCTAAAATGATGCTCAATATCTACCAGACTACTTCATAACAGAAGGAATTTACAAAACAATCAGAACACGATTTACATGAAAAACAACACAAAACTGTACAATTGTTTGTTATCCTCTACTTTCATCACGAATTTATAAATGTAATATAAATTGATTCCTGCCATTCTGAATATTTTTCTTATACATCTTCAATTTTTCATATCATAACATATATGAAGAACAGGACTGAACAGAGTGCATGTCAGTCACTTGTAAGGTAATAATACTAGAAGTATAAAATACATGTACAGCTACAGCCTCTGCTCATGACAGACCACTTCCTCAGTAAAACTTGCAATCAGCTTCACTTACCTGGGGGTGGTGAAAGTGGCATACACCATTTCCTCTGACTCCAGGTATGTCATTCCCTGAATCTCATTAAAATAGAATGGGTAATTTCCAGGGATCGAACAGTTGAGACGAGCCTTCAGAAAAGTGGTCCAGTTATCCCTCAGAAACACTTTTCCGCCGTTGTCATTCTTACAAATGCGAGCAATGCGAGAGTAGACAATCTATAACACCACAATCATAATATACATCCGCTGTGTGGCAACATCTAACGATTATACGTAGTACGGTAATGTGGTATTTAAACACATATAATCTGCCTGAGGAAAGGGGGGGAGCCTAAGTAAAGCTACTAAAAGCCTCAGTCAGGATCTTCCCCGAGCGCGGTGCGATATTCTTGGCCAAAAGAAGAATAATACCAGTTAGTGCAATGCGTGGGACCAAGAAATACCAGAAAGTATCAATAAAGCAGACTCGCCTTGCTCATGCGGCAACGTCTTTGCCAGCTATGCGTGCCATGTAGCGTAATCATGTAGGCGTATGCCTTGTGTTCAAGGTTTCAATTTGCGTACCTGACGAACACGTGTATCTAACAAACGGATTTTTTGTGCTACGCGCCTTTCGCGAAATCCCCCCCCCCCTTAAAGTCATTATTCACTTCAAGCAATTATCTGCTCTCAGCTTACTGACCCTTAAGCTGTGTACTTAGTGAACTAAGTAGCTGCTAGTATATCAGCTGGGCAAGACATTCTGTAATCGAATAAGTGTACACCCTAAACCCGTTTCTTCCCCTTAGGCTGTAGGATCAAAATTTGTGCAACTGTCAACAGTATCATGCTACATGAACTGCCAATCTCATACTCCTTAATTTGATATTTGGTGACGAGTTCAAATCGATAAGCTTTTCGTTGTATGGTTTTTCTCATTACTGTTATTTCAGTGTTCGAATTTATGATCCATTGGTGAAATGAGGCCACACAATGCTAACTACAAAGTGGAAATTTAGAGATGAGAAATTATGCCAATAAATGTTGCTAGTAACATCTTCCAAAAATGTAATTAAAACTACCAACAGTGGTCATGGTGGTTTACTGAATTTTTCCATCATCAAGGAGCTTCATTTGTCGGCAATAGAGTCACGTACCTTTCCACAGTTGATGTACTCCACAGCAACCTCACGGAACAGGAAGTAGACATAGTCGGACGTCTCGAACGAGCCGACGAACTGCGGTTCGTTAAGCCATTTGCTGTCATACTGCTGCGTGCGGGTCATGGACTTGGTCTTTCCGGTATCGCTCCGTATTATCGCCGAATCGGTTCCAGAGAAATCCGTGGAACTCCCGACAAAGTACTGTCCCGAGCGAGTCAGCAGCGCGGTGACGTTGGCTTCTGGGCTGTAAGGGCAATGCCCCACGCCTCGCACCCATTCCAGTACATTGCTCACGTTCTCAATCTGCGTTTGGGCAGAAACAATGCTTTGAGACTCAGTTCTGAGGCATTCTTTCTACGTTCTAGCCATTTATTGTGATAGTTTTATTTGTTATGTTATTCCCAGCTATTGTTATACATTTCCCGCTAGCCCCAACATCGCCAGTCGGCGTAAGTGTTAGGGTGGCCACACACGCTCCGGCTTACCGGATGACTTACGTCTCTGAAGGCAAACCTTCCGGCAAACCGGAGCGTGTGTGGTGAATTTGGCCGGAAACCGATCCTCCGATAAATCTGCAGTCGCTTGATTTCTTGCCTCGAGGTTTACTGAATGTTTACAAGTCGTAACGTGTGTGGGCAGAGACGAGGGTAAAGGCAAGGCTTGTAGCATTTAGTCATCTCAACCAGCCACCGAGAACTTCAAATCCTCGTAGTTTAACTAAGTTAAACTAAGTTTAACACTTCCAAATATGTGTCCTCATCCACTCGTAGGTATTTATGCCAGTCCGTCGGCTCTAATCGAATTTCGTTCAACAAATTTATGTGAGAATGTTTTGATACATCTAACCAACTTCTGACCCACTTAGAAAGTTTCAACTTTCTTTTCTTTTTCAACATTAAAGTAACAGCAAGACCGATTAAAATCGCATCGTCTTCACTGAACATGTTGTAGCATCGACTGAAGAATAAAAAGACTGAGCACAAACCTGCCACAAAGTCTGTACGTGTGTGGACTCTCAGAGGTTTGAGGCTTTCCTTCCGGTTTCTACTTGGAAGGCAGGCCTTCCGGCAAGCCGGAGAGTGTGTGACCACCCTTAGAACCAATGAATAATTCAGTCTGTGATGACTGAGGCACTTACCGCTCTCCATGAGCACTGGGGCTTGAAGGCGTTGGTGCCACACGAGAAAATCCTATCCCCGCTGGCCACCAGCACCTTTACGAAATTATGACATCTCGCCTCTCCTTGACCCTTGACCTGACACATGTCCACGGCAGAGTTTGTCGCCGGCCATGACGCCTTCTCCAGCTGTGCCAGGCCGTTCAGCGACAACCGGTACAGCGTGTTGCTGTGGGAAGACAACAGGTGTCAGTCTTGGAAACAAGCAAACAATCAAAGAGACGGAGCAGAATGGTAACGAGTGGCCGGACTCCACTAACAGTGTGGTGCTTAGGCACAGGAGAACGTCATCGTGTCCAAACATCGTGCCATCGACAGACTTGAGAGGTGGCTCAACAATAACATGCGAGGAGACACTGAGACCATCTTTCTGCAGGAAGTAGACGCACGCAGTCGTGTCGCTACATATTGGTCCGTAACATTCCTACGGCCCAGAGCGCAAATGGGTTCCGTTTTGAAATATTTTACTTTCCTCCGGTGGAGTAAAAGTGCTTGAGAAGTTCCGAATTAATTTCAACGTTACCTTTTATTCTTTTCTGTCACACTGACGTTTCTTCAGAAATCTCATTTTAAAGTGATTTAATTTAATAGGACAGATTCTATGACAATGACTGAACTGCGCATAGGAAAGACACCAAGTGCGAACGCTTCAATTGAAGAGGATAAAGGCCGGAACACACTCGGACTCATTTTGACTACTATAAGCAGTATTGGTGAAGACAAAAAACAAGGTAACACCTTTTCGAGCAATTTATTTTTACTCCTGAATTTACATTTCTATATCCAAACACGACAGCGATGCAAAGTTATGAATAGTTTCCAAGGCAACATTAAGAATGTGCAATTACATCTGTGCAAAGAACATCCAAGACTGTGCTGGCATAAAAGATGTCAGTAGGCACAAAATATGCACGTCGTATCATTATAACAATCTTGTATCTCTCTGCTGGTGCGTATTTACATCAGGATTCATATTTACGGTAAATGTTTAAGTCTGACTCCAATATTACACATTACGCTTCGCTGTAAACAAATCGGTCGTCTGCAAGGGGAAAAGGAGCTATTGACAACAGATATTTATTGGGTTTGGCATAATCAGGGGGTGTCCTATATCTCCAG